GACTGGAAAATAGGTCAGATTATTCACACTTTAAAAACTGCTTATTTCATTCATGTGGATAAAAGAAATCTGGCTGATGCATGGATTTCCATAAGTCATTTAGCAAGGTTCTTCCACAGAAGTTCTTAAAGTATCTAAATGGGTATGGGATAAAAAGGAAGGTTGTTGCATGAATAAACAATTGATTAAACAATTGGAATAAAAGGTAAGAGTAAATGGCCAATTTTCACGGTGGAGGGAGGTCACCAATGGAGTCCCACAGAGACCATGCTGGAACTCATGCTGTTTAACATACTCTTAAATGCCGTGAAACAGAGTGTGGCCAGTGAAGTGTCAAAGTTTTCTGAGAACACTGGGTTATTCAGGGTAGGAAAGTTGAAGACCAACAGTGGAAAACAGTATAAGGACCTCTAAAACCTGAATGACTGGGCATCAGAACTCAATGTAAGGAAATGTACAATGAGGAAAAACTTCTGATATGTAATTGTCCAATACTATCTGATATTACCCTTCAGGACAAAGATCTTGGCCTTCTAATGGATAAGTAGAAAATTTCTTGAAAATGTTAGCAAGGTGGAGTTATGATCAAAAAACCAAATTGCCAACGTAAAGAATCATCAGGAAAAGAACATAGAACAAGCCAGAAAACAACATGATGCTTCAAAAAGCAGTGAGTGAGGGAGGCAAAAGATTATGAAATTGTGAAGGCCAGGGAAAGACATTCGGGAAAGAACTTATGATCTGTTCCCATATAAGAACAAGAAGGCATAAATAGGCACTCAGGGGTGGTATGTTCATAAAACCAAAATTAAAGCAAGTTGCTTTTCACACAGGTATTACTATAGCTGCAGAATTTTTTGTCTCACATAGCTATAAGCACTTACACAGATTCTAAAACCGACCTGTCCAATTAAGAGAATAAATTTTTTGAGGCTAATTAAATGAAAAATAAATAAATAATATAACCATCCCAAAATCCCCAATGTATTGGTTCATGAAACCACTGCATTGGCTTATGAAACCACCGTCCTGTAACTTGTAGAATGCTTGGAGAATATTTTAGTATTAACATAGATGGCCAACAGCCATCAAACTCATCTTTTGGCATCTTCTGTTAGCCATTGCCAGGAGTAAGGCACTGGGTTGAATATACTTTTTTCTCAACTCTGTCTGGCTGCTTTTATATTATATAATATGAATGAAAGGAGATTCTTGACAAAACTTTGTCTTTTGTGCCACAATGATTTCCATGCTAGTGCTAGAATTAGGAAAGTAAACCTCAAGTGAAAAATAAAAACTTGAGGCATTTCAAAGATCAAAATGGAGAACACAACAAAATGAAGCAAAAAGCTCAAGAAAAGTATTTGGAAGAACAAGCACACACACGCACACACAGACTGCTGTAGCAGTTACCAGATCTGCAAAACATGGGAGTTGGAAAATGGAGAAACTGAGAGTGACAATGCAGTGAGTCCCTTAAAAGAAATAATAAGCTCACACTGGGCTGCACAGAAACTAGTTCCCTTGACTACCGGAGACTTTTAGAATGGAAAAAACCAAAAGGTGACTGAGAGAAAGAGAAAGTGCAGAAAGAGGGGAAAACAGAGACTCCAATTAAAATGCACCGAGTCTGAAAAGATTCATGAGGACACTTTAGATGACATTATGCAAAAAACTGGGCAACAAGCAGACTTTATTGGGCCAACATGAATACATATAAAGGAAAAAAGGTCAGAAATCATTGCCACTGTGCAAAGTACCAGAGACAGAATCCCTGGGAGGCTGTGACCATTTGTGATGCTCCCAGCAGAGCTTGGCAGCAACTGGCAATTGATGTATTTGAACATGGAGGAAACCACCGCCTGCTGATAATTGATTATTATAGTTGTTCTTTTGAAACTAAGAGAAGTAAGCAACACATTAGCCAGCATCTAGTGAATCACACTGAGGTGATAGTCACCAAACACTGTCTCTGTGATGAGCTCATTTCAGATAATGGGTCACCATACACATTGGAAGAAATTTGAAGGTTTGTAAAGTACTGAGGCTTGAAATGCAGCTGGTAGGTCTTATAACTGATAGTGTAATGGACTGGTCAACATCACAAGTAGCCAAAAAGACATTAATGCAGACAAGATCTTCCTCGAGGTTTACTGACATGCCCCTACGGAATCAAATGCTTTACTGGCTGAGATGTTAATAAGCTGAAAACTCTACTCCTAAGTCCCATGGCATGCTCCTTCTACAGCCCAGGGCTGCAGATAACAGCCAAATAGAATAGATGGGAGCAGACTGGGGAAGGAGAGAGCAAGTACAGCATGATCATTCCAGAAACTACAACACAGTTCTGGTGTGGTTGGTGGCACGCTTGTGTGGAAAAAACATTTGTGGAAAAATTCACTTTATCTGCAACACAGGTAGAAAATGGAGAGAACCAGAATTAACCTCAGATGTTAGAAGATAGCTCTGGCCATGAAACTACTCTTCTGCTCTGAAAAAAATCTGATTCATGATCCTAAAACTGCATCTGAGAAAGCCGACAACTACAATCCCACCATGGCTTTAATGCCACTCACTGTACAGAAAGGAGATGACTCACACCTGAGCATCAAGTGATACAAGTGAACTTATACCATGTCGCTCAAAAAGTTCAAGCCCAAAGAGCTGACATCCTAATGCTGTGAATTACACAGAAACATTTGTAAGAGCATTTCCAGTTTTATGTCGTTTTCATGCATCAGCAGCTAACTGGTGCAACATCGTTTAGAGAAAGGCTCCTAAAATGACTCCAGGAGATTGTTTTCTGCTCACGCGATCAGCATTGGTGCTGGGTTCATGCTGAGAGCAAAGGGTGTTTTGGAAAGCACAAATAAAAAAAACCTGTTTAAGTTTACATATGTGGAGTGCCGTTCAAGTGAGCAGTCCAAATACGACAAAATATAGGTCAAATAAATAAAAATGAACAGTTGCATTCAAAACAGAAATTAACAGCTGTGCTGTGGAAGGGTTGGGGAAGATTTGTGTTGCTAAGCTGGATCTCTTTCATCTCACAAGGGGAGAGGAAGGCCTGTGATCCTGCAGCCATGCCATGCCCTCATACAGACGTTGCCTCAACTAAGAATTAAGGTAAATTAAGAGCATTGAATGTTATGAAGCAATGCATTCAGGTAGAAAGGTGATAACCATACTTTGTATAATGGTTTACTGGAAGAATAGGTCCCTTACAGTGCAGGAGTAGGTTCCTTTCCATGCCCTTAGCACCGTCTCTGGGAGCAATCTGGCTGATAAACCATGTGGTATGTGAGCTGAATGGCTCTTTTGATTCCCCTGTCTCAGCTAAATCTCCACTGAACACACTAGAAGCTTAGGCAAGAACAGCAGATGAAGACACTCATGTAGCCACCTAAATTTAGGTATTTTAAACTGAATGCCATGCACTATGACTCTTTCTCTTTTCCTTTGTGGCTGCCCTTACTCCCTTGCCCTTATTCAGTCTAGATAAAATGAGTAAAATTGTAATTCATGTAAATCAGCAGAAATCAACTATCCTTCTTATTTCTTTGTTTGCACAGTCTATTTCCAGTCCCCTTGACTCTGTCTGACTGGTAAATCTAGGGACAGTCTCTTTTTTATGCTTGCCAGATTCTAGCATAATGCGATCCAGGAACCAACTGCCTTGTTGGATTGTATCACAAAAAAATTTTATATTGTTGATTTTAAACTACTAGTTACATGTTAGATTCTATGTGATGTCAAAGTAAGAGAACTTGGCTCTTCTTGATGTGCATGCATATAATTTCAGTGTGACATTTTCACCTGGCAAATGTCAGACTGGAAAATACGAAGCTGATCATGTATATATGTATACACACACACACACATATATATGTAAATGAAGTAATTGTGACTGTGTTTATAAAATTTCTGTTCTTCTTAATTACAAAGTAATAATCCACATTTTGCATAAACATCTGTAATCACAATAATTTTTTGAAAACAGTACGGTCAATTTATTTTAATTAACAGTAATAAGTTTTTCTGTTGTTACTATCTTTTCCTAATAACCTGTTGTTCTCAAAGCTTTTTTTAGCCCTCAGGATTTTATTCAGTTCTCTATTCAAATATTGATGAAACTTAACCCTAGTTAGGTTTTGCATCTGACAAGATCATAACTTGATGTGTGCGGTTATCCATTAAAAATCACTTAAGGCAATTGCTGTTACCACTGTAACATGATAAACCTGACAATAGACTGTTAGTTCAAAAGAACCCAGTAATTTCATTTATTTCCTATTTCTCAAAACATCCGCATTGACGTGAAAGAAATGTCAAGTTAAAAATAACAATTCATGGGTCATGGTATCAACTGTGATTTCATTACATTATGTCTGTGAGCAGATGAAAGCTGTTGTGGCATTCAGACTTTAGGTGAGCTGGTAAATGAGAAAAAGCCTAACCTATTTCATTTTAAGATTATCAATTATTCAAATACCTACAAAGAGTCTTCCCCACATTCCTAAAATGAGAACCAAGGTTGATTGCTCCCCTGTGGGGGGCAGGCAAATGCTGGTGAGCTCTGTTTGCAGTTTGAGCCTACAGCATCTGTGTTAACCCAGGGTGAGAGGCTGGGAGTGCATGGTTGATGTGGTGCTGGGGATGGCTAACCAGCCAGCTGGGGAAGCTGGGACATCAGTTCAATTTCAGCATCGTGCCAAGGTGCCTTCCTGCATTTGTATGGGAACTCTGCTGTACCCCACAGAGAATCTTGCCTCTGCCTGCCTGCTCTCTACTGTGATGGTGTGCCTTGGCTTTTGGAGAACTGCTGCTTAAAAGAAAGATCTTCCAGGTTCCTTCTAAACACCTTTCCCCCTATGCTGAAAGTCAATTATTACAAAGCATCTATCTTATCACTTAGAAAAATTAATTTATGAATACAAAAATAGAAAGAGCTGGCAATCTGACAAAAAAACTAGCAGAAGAAAGTATATGTAACACCTTACCCCTTCTATGCATTTATGGCAGTTATATTGCAGCATCTATGACTGATCTGGTAAGCTCATGTTCTGGTCTGAGACACCTGTGTCAAGAAAGAAAGGGAAGTTTTTTCCCTATTTCAGAGCGACATTGCTTTAAACTAGTAAATCTTCAGGGCTGACCTTACTTTTAGGGAAAAAAAATTGCCTACTCCTAAGTGAGACAGACAAAGATGAAATCTAGCAGAAGAGCTGATATTTCAAGACATCCCTTGCTTTAAGCTATCTCCAAGAAAAATGAAGCTTAAATGCAAGAGTGATGTAGGCACTTTAGAAATCCCTATACAAAAAGGGATAGACACTCAGAGATATGTATGGTTATAGGTGCCCATTTCAGAATGTATCCACCTAATGACACTGCCCAGCATTTGGGAAGAATGGATCTCATGTTTAGGAATGACACAGATAATAAAAATTTAAAACATTCACAAGCAGAGAAAATCTATAGACAGAGAAGCATTTCACCAGGGTTATTTTCTTTCCTGAAAGCACCATGTCTGCAGCTAGTGGTTGAATGCATGCACAAATTAAGTTTACAGATTTCATATAGCAATTTATTCTGGTTGAATGTAATAGCAGTAATTTTTCATGCAAGTCAGCAAAATACAATCCATAAAGGAAAAAGTACTGCCATTATTTTAAACTCTATTGTTCTTATTCAATTCAAATGTGAATTGAAGCTAAATAATTTACTGTGTAAATTTCATTTTTAATTTTATACCATTCCAAAAGAAGAGAGTGAATGAGAGAATGACGGGGAAGCTTCAAAGCTCTAAATCCTTGTATACTAATGTCTCAACAGTAAAATAATCTAAGGAGCATGCTGCAGCAAAAATGATTGCTGGGATCTATAATAAGATTGTTTTAACTCAATAGTGTTTTATAATTTTTTGATTCACTCCGAGTTTTTGACAGCTTGCCTAGTTGCAGTTTTTATCTGATCATCTTTGCATTAATAATACATTACAATAAGTTTCATGGAAAAGTGGCCATTTTTTTCTCACTGAATACTTTACTTTTGCCAGCAAAATATTGACTTGGGTTTATAATCAATTCCTGTTTGGCTTGATCATGCTTAGCATGAAGCTAAAATATTTGCTGCTAGACAGATGCCAATACAAATGTCATCATTGCCATATTATAACAAATTCGTTCAGTTGCTAAATAATCTGCCTCGCAGGTTGCAATATGTATCGGACTGAAGCCCAGAGCTTCAGAGGCACTAGGATATGAGTAGTTGTACTTACCTGAGGCTCCCATTCCCCTGCTTCAGAAAAACTTCCTCCCAGCAACAGCATCCATTTCCATACAGTCATCCTCTGAGTCACCTGTGGCTTGCTCACTGACTAGATTCAATCAAGGCAAAAATACTGAATAAAAGAAAACATGTCAAAAATTATTTTATTTGCCTTCCCCCATCTTCTGAGGCATGAATGAAAATAGACTTTCAAGTAAAAAAAAACCCAACCACTAGAAAAAGGACTTATTTCTCAAGAGACATTTCAGAAAAAAAATTTCAGCTAGGTGCAACTTGTGTATCCTTATCTTCCTTCATAATTATAATATTTATATACAGATTAATTATGCTTGATTGGTATCAGGAAACAGAATAGTCTGAGAAATACTACTGTTTAACCTAACTCAGTTAATTTACTTCCTGAAGACTTAATTCAAACTATCTTTTCCTTTGTATTGGCATGCATCTCAAAAGCCCCATCCTGTTCTGGCACATCAGTCCCTGACTCTGAGTTTCCCTTCTGCAGTAACAGAGCCAGAAGTCTTTCAGTTCTCTCTTTCCACCTTCTAAGTTGAAAGCACAGCACTTGGAAGAGTCTGAGATTGGCACTGAGCCAAAGATCTGCACTGTTGGCAAGAGATTACTTTGCCACATCGCCTGACCAGAGAAGGCAAGCGTGCACACCTCTAGAAACTCCATGATGATGATGGGTAGCATATACTCTCCAAACAGGAGAAACCTTGCTGCATCCTCAGCTACTTCCATTGTTAGTAGTGGTAGCGAGAGTGATCTTTTTCAAGCCCAGGATGATGACTGCAGAGAGTGAGAACATACCTGGAGAATATAAATGTTGGAGTCTGGCTTAAACAAAGCTGTGCTGAGGTCCATCTTTCTGAAAGGCAAAACAAGCATGCACAAGCGGCACAGGAACAGAACAAATGCTGAACACCCTACCTGATCCCCACAGTACTGTCTTTCCTGCTATAGATCTCACTTGACATGTTTGAATGCTCTGATGCTTTGTAACCCGGGGGGGGGATCTGCAATTGATATAATGTGTTGTTCAGTTCATTCCCAACTTAGGAAATTAAAAACAGGCATGTGCAGGCATTGCAAACTAACAGATTTTGTGGGTCAAGGCATGCCTTACAATTTCATAAAGTCATTCCTGATGTCCAGACATTATTTGTTATTAACTATTACTTTCAGCGTGATCTGTTAAAAAAAAAGAAAAAAGAGTTTATATTTAAACACAATTACACATTATATTTAGTGCTTAATATAGTAAATTTCTTCTCTCCCCCAGGCAACAGGCAATTACAATTGCTCTGAGAAATAAAATATATGTGAGCCACTAAACTATGCAGGCCCTTTAAAGCACTGCATCCCTCTATAGTGTGCCAGTAGCAGTGACACTGCAAATTGTAACATAGCAATATTGCTTTTATGAAAGTAATTTTGCTAGATCTGGTCATTATAAAGGTATTTTCAGAAATATGTTTCATCTTTCTGAAATTTTAAATTCCTTTCAGAAAAGCATGTGAAATTTTGTCTCTGAAAATGTCAGGGTTGGCAGTCCTCTGACACATAAGAGAACAGTGCCCCAAGTCTCAGCGCTAGTGATCTCAGAGAATAAACTCCCTTTATAGAGTTTCATCTCACTTGGGGCAAACAAGGAAGACAAGAATGTGAGTTTGCTGCAGCTGATATGTCCTGCTTGGAAGTGACTGTCAATCAGCTTGAAAGGTAAGGAAGATGCATCCCTCTTGTTGCAAGACACAAAGAACTGAGTACGGTATGAGCCCACTAAATCAACACGGTAAAAAGCGTCATTTGAAATTAAAATTAGAAGCAGGTGGGCACAGACCTTCTTCAATGTCTGTGATTAATCAATACATCTATAATTTATCTATATCTATTATGCTATATCTATTATGGAGGTTAAACAACAGAAACAAAATTCAATTGAAATAAATAAGTCTGCACATATACATCACTGAAAAAATGGCTCTGGTATACTACAAAACAAGTGTTCATTATTTTTAATGTATGCTTTCCATTTGCAGACGTGGGCTTCCCAGTCCTCACGCTGGGTGAAGGTGGCAGATGGATGGTGCTGCAGAGAATGCTGAACGCATGTGAATGACACATGGGACTGAGTTAAAAATTACCTTTTGTCTTACTAAACAATAAAAAGATGGCAGTTTCAGATTCATTCACATCACTGTCTTTTTGCAAATCCACAACCGCCACTCCATCACTGATACAGCACACAACACTCCCCATTCCAACACAGGCAAGCATAACCTACACGCAGCAAAGGAAGTCTGAAAGCAAGAAATGCCATCCTGATTTCCCTTTTGACAGTATAATTTGCATTTTGCAGATTTGAGAGTGTCAGTGAATTCACTGAGACAATGGATGGGAAAGAAAAAATTAAATCTCTCTCTCACTGTCATGTCCGCACAAAAGGAGAATTATCAACCCAATGCAATCAAGCACACAAAAAACAATTTTATTGTTTATACAATAAAAGTAAATAGGTTCATTCAGCCGTGGCTTTCCAAACTCTAATTTGCTATATTTTCTTCCAATAGGAAGGATTAGTTGGTTTTGGGTTTACTTTTCATTGAAACATCAAAAGACACATCGGTGTCCCTTTGTCTGTGAACTGTTATCATGACTTGAGCTGAGGTAGAAGGCTGGTATTTTGCATTTTCTTGCAGAGAGGTAGCCTTTTGGTTTCGTCACAGTAAAGAAAAATGACCAGAAATAGTAACTGGCTGAAAAACTGTGTCAGATATTAGCTGGAAGTACATAATCAGGAATCACTAATAGGAACAACACCGGTAATCATTTCATCACTTTGCCAAAGAAGAAAGACACTTTCTGTTTTGAGGGTTGTTGTTATTTCCCCCTGTTGAAATAATCATTCTTCCGTTAACACTGGTCATGACATCGTTGGTTTGTTTATGTGATTTCCTAACACCATGGATATCTGTGATGCTTTATCCAAGCATCCTGACACCTCATTTTCTCTGACAGCAATCATTCCCATCCCAAATGTCAGTGGAGAATGCTACAATGGAAGAAAGTGAAATTTGGTGCTTTCATAACCACCCGTCATTGTTACAGTTATTGAAGGTCAAGCAACAGGAGTACAGAGGGTTTTGTATGGCTGCAGCAACACTGAGTGGCTGATGCCCAGGAAATCGCCTTTTATTGTTTTCTTTTGTGTTACACAGACCCATGAGTTTTACCGTATGCTGACTTGACCTGTAGTGAGGTACATGTCATCTGAAAATCAATATCATGGTCCTTTCTCTGTATTGCAGGTCAAACAAAAGGAAGGTGTATTTTTTTGTCTTTTTTTTTTTTTTTGAGAAGGGGTTCATCTGAAATGATCCAGTGGGTAACAAAGAAACTCGAAAGGAAGCTGGTTCCATTAAGAAAAAAAGTATTCAGAAACATGATGAGTTTTTCTTCTATTAAATGAGGAGCTGACTCACATAAATGAGGAGGCAATCAAAACCCAGGTACGTCTCATAAGAATATCACAAGTTCTCCTCTTTGGCCTGAATCAACACGGGCATTTCATTATGTCAGTGCATCTCACAGTGTTTTGTTTATAACAACACTCTCATATCCCAAGATCCCTACTTGGCTCTAAATCACGCCTCCTCCAGCTTCTGACTAAGACAGCAGTCCCTGAGCACACAGGAGCAGCAGACAGAAACCAAAGTGGTTTTGTGGCACATAATTTTGTATCTTTAGTTGCAGATATCGGCAAAGTCTCTGTTTTCTAATTGAGCCAAACTAGTTTGTCCTCTCCTAGTGCCAAGCCACTCACATGTAGGTCTTTCATTTTCCATGTTCACTGCATTTTCACCAGAGGTGCTGGGAAACAGATGATTCTCTAGAAAAGCTGCAGAGGCTATGTCCTTTTCTTCTCTGTATTTCTTGCTCAGCTTCTTTGTTCTCATAGTTTCCTGCCACTGGCACCAGCAGTTCCACTTTAAATAGAGCTTTAACATAGATATTCCACCCTGTCTGCCATTCTTCCTTGGACTAACATTTGCATGGCAGATGGTGCAAATGGCCCAGCAAATATTTACTGGATCAGTGTTAGAAAAGCAAAGCAAAGCAAAGCAAAGCAAAACAAAACAAAAACACCCCAGCTGCCAGACTGATGACTTTCTGGCACCATATCATGTGCCACCAGTCACCAGGATGGGGAAAACACCACAGAAAGATAATTGATGTTGAGCTTGCTGGATTTTTAGGAGTATTTTTTGAATCTTTTTGTTTGGAGCACCCCCAGAAGGCAGGTACAAGGACAGGAACCTTTTCCCTTCCTTCTCAGAGTCTGTCTTTTTCTCATTCCTTAGGTGAAAAAAAAAAAGTATTATGTCAAATTAACTTATTCCCCTTTCAAATAAAAACCAGTCATATCTGGTATCAGAATTGTATTAATTACAGACAATAGACTGATCTCATTGCAAATGGAGTCTGCTGAAACTCCATTTCAGCAAAGTTTGGGACAAATATCTTACAGATTTATATAGTGATAGAAGGAGGGGAAGGTGATCAATGTTAAGTATGACCTATGGCTTTTGGAGGCACTGACTTGCTAAGGTGTATTGCAGGAAGAGCAGAACAGCGAAATACCTGTGCAATGGTAGTTGCTTTTTAATTTCCATGTTCCTGTCAACCAATATTCCTCTATTTTGCTATTTTTTTTGATAGCTGAAGTAATTGGGTGTCAACATCTTTGATGGTGAAGAACAGTGAAATGCCAGGATGTCCTATGGAGCAAAATCCTTTTTCTCCACCATACCAATACTCTATATTATATTTAACAGTGCAGAATCAGTGCAAATTATATTACTATCCAAATGGATGTTATTTTCTAAGCAGGTTATATATGCCAAAACATAAAAACAGTCTGTTAAGATTCCAAGGAGAAAAGAAAGGAAAACAGGAAAAATAGAAGCCAAAAATATATGGGCCGCCATTCTGAAAAGTAGTTCAGCAGATGGTCAAGGAAAGATTTGTACAGAATGGGACACAACAGAAGGAGAAGGAGCACATCTGAAATTCTTGTTCCAATTGGAAGTCTGAACCACTTGAAAATCAAATTGCATTTATTCTACAGTTAATTTTTAATTTTAATTACAGTCTAAAAATTTTTTAATAAAGTCTTTGAATACACATTTTTTTTAAGGAAAACATATTTTCCTTTTCCCATCGGTCCCTCAGGAAAGATTCAATTTCTCTTTAAGCCTAGCAGTAGGAAAGATAGAAGGAGAATATACACACAAAAAATATGAGTCAAGAGAAGAAAGAAAATTCCATCTCCCGCAATTGTATTTTGCCCATTTATCTTGCACTGTAAACTGTGAACTACGTGAGAATATGCCATGAACTGGAAAAGGGAAAAACAATAGAGTCCTGATTAATCTAGTTCATCCAAAGTTCTCTTCTTGATCTTATGGCATTTCAGAAGACAGCATTCATTAGTTACCAAAGCTAAAAAAATGTCATTGTATCCTCAGTGCCAAAAAAGAAGTGAAGAGGTCCTCTACTAGAATACCAAAACGACTTCAAAGTCTTTGCACAAAGGCCACAGAGGGTAGGGCTAGCTTGGGGTCCTCTCTCCAGGATTTCTTTTATGACTTTCAAACAAATCTTGCTTTTCAAACTCATATGTCCTAATGCTAAACCTGAGAATGTAAAAATTCACATCTGAACTCTGAAATACTCAAAACTGCAGCATCAGATATAGGCATTCATGAACAGTGAAAAAGTTTATCTACAGTCACTATTCCATAACCTAGTGGATCCTACTCTCCAATTAGGTAGATTCATATAGTCTAGAAAAAGAATATATTCTTATACAGGGAATGAAGTTCAGAAAATCATCAATTAAAGGCATAGATACACAGACTGTCATGATGAATGCAGAGAAGATGGATCAGGGTATGCGAGTGCTTGAACACCCTGAGCAGCCAAAAGGGTAAAAAAAAAGAGAAAAGAAAAATGGCAAAGAGAGGTTGGCTTTGATCCTTATGCTTGTC